TGGATGGCTTCAATGATTGTTTTCAGTGAACATCGTTTAAGTATGGTTCTATTATCTTCAAATCATTTTTAATGTTAATATATGGCAGCGAAATCGGACATGCATAGAAATGCTGCTACCCACTTCAAAAGTTGAGAAGTATTTAGAAATAATTAAAGATTCAAGAAATGTTGAAAGTCAATTTGCGTAGTAAGTTTAGTGTATACGGGGGAAACAACCAACCTATGAAATAATATTAATTTAGACTAGCAATCCCAACAACGTCCGTACCTTCTCTCTCGCTAGTCTAATCATCACAAACCTCCGTAACAGACTGTCCTCCTTTTCTGTTGATGAAATAGATCCTAAACAATATTTGGATTTTTGATGTATTAATTGTGTCTTCTGTGTTTATTTGATAAATAAATTTAGTACCAAAAAATCATTCCCGTTGGACTCGATGTTTATATACATTTATGAACGTGATAAAAACAGCTTTGGAGTTTAACAGAGCTTAACGGGGTTCAAGAAAATCATAGGCGTCAAAGGGGGGGGGGGGGAGTACGATCGAACTTCTTTCAATACCATTTTTTTTTCAAACGCTACCACTTACCTTTTTTAGATTAGACTGCAATGTGCCTAGCTGTTGAAAGTGAGGGGGGGGGGGGGTAAACCTACGCCCCAATGTTCAATGCCTATATTATGTCTACCTTTGCAAAAAAGTGGGAGGGGGACTAAGCCCCCCTAGCCGGTACCTACGCCTATGAAAATTAACACACTTGTATTTATATTTTTACCGAGTACCCGGGTACTCGATCGGAAAAACGTTCGAGTAACCGACTATCAAAAGTTGACCGATTTGACATCCCTAATATATATAAGTTGAATTATTCAACGTATGCAGCTTTCACTCGACAGTTGACACATTCTTCTGTTTTAATATGTTACATGTAACTAATATATCAGTAAATAAAGCATGTCATTACTAATACATAGAAAAACCGGGTTTCTTCTAACAACTTAATCCTTTTTATAGTTTCAAATATTTAAAAAATTTTCTTCAAACCATGGAACCTAAGCATTGCAGGCCTGTAGCTACGTTTTTCAAAGGGGGAGGGCAAAACTATTTGATGCAGGCACGTAGTATCGGGGGGGGGGGCAGGGGGGGGGGCTGCCCCCCCCCCCACTATTTTGCAGACACAAGTTTTTCTATAGGAAATGTTCATTGAAAAACCGGTTGCCCCCCCCCCCAGCTTTTGGTTGCAGTATTGTCAAATAAGGGTAATATAAGGGGAATGCAGTGTTTGAGTAAAAAATTGGTACTAAAAGAAGTTGGAATCTACCCCCTTCCCCCCGAAATAGAATTTCCGAGTTTGCACAATTTTCCTTTTTTTTTTTTTTTTTTTTTTTGCTTGACAAGTTTTTCTTTCAGGTAAGTTGAAAATTTTTTCCTCGGTTGCCCCCCCCCTTTCAAAAACGATGCTACATCACTGTGATGCAAAAAAGTAAACTGCTTAATCTTGAAAATCTTAGTACGGGTTGGGGGTGGGGGGGGGGGCTTGTCAGTTTTTCAAATGCTACAGTGTAGAATTCGGCCGAATTCGACCTTACAGCAACAAAAAGTGGGGGGGGGGGGCAAACAGGGTCTAAATGAAATTTACATATCAAGACTAAAACAAAAGACTTTTTTTCTGAAAATTAAAAAAAAAAAAATCAGAATGCTTCTATTGTTATAATTTTTTTTCTGACTTTTTAGCTCACCTGAGCCGAAGGCTCAAGTGAGCTTTTCTGATTGAAATTTGTCCGTTGTCTGTCGTCGTTGTCGTAGTCGTTGTCGTAAACTTTTCACATTTTCATCTTCTTCTCAAGAACCAGTGGGCCAATTTCAACCAAACTTGCCTCAAAGTATTCTTGGGTAAAGGGGATTCAAATTTGTTCAAATGAAGGGCCACGCCTTCTTCCAAGGGGAGATAATTATGAATTCATAAAAAATTCATGGCATAATTTAAAAATCTTCTCAAAAATCACTGTGCTTGAAAATATGAAACTTATACGGAAGCATCCTCAGGTAATGTAGATTCAAGTGTGTTCCAGTCATGACCCCCAGGGGTAGGGTGGGGCCACAATGGGCGATAAAAGTTTTACATAAGAAAACATAGGAAAAATCTTTAAAAATCTTCTTCTCATGAACAGAAAAGCCATGATTGGTCATATTTATATGGAAGCATCCTCAGGTAGTGTAGATTCAAGTTTGTTCAAATCATGACCCCCAGGGGTAGGGTGGGGCCACAATGGGTGATCAAAGTTTTACATAGGAATATATAGGTAACATCTTTTTAAAAAATCTTCTTCTTAAGAACAGCAAAGCCATGATTAGTCATATTTAAATGGAAGCATCATCAGGTAATGTAGATTCAAATTTGTACAAATCATGATCCCCCCCCCCCCCCAACCAGTTTATTTAAACTTTTCAAGACTGAACTGATTTCTGCTTTTTCCTAGCCAGAGTGCTCAGGTGAGCGATGTGGCCCCTGGGCCTCTTGTTTGCGAATTGCAGCTATTTCCTAGTTTACATTACTGTTATTGCAGAAGAAATTATGCATCGACAAATATAGTCACCACAGAAATATAAATAATTTGTCCTAAAATAACAGACAAATCTTACGCTACCACTTGTTTGGAAGTGGATCTCTTCTTGCATAAAATAATTTTCAAAAGTCCTCGGTTTTAGTTAGTTATTGGTCGGATAAATTCTAATTATAGCTAAATGAGGTGGGGGGGGGGGGTCATCTCGAAAATTCTCCACTTCAAACGTGGAGTTTATGGAGTCATTTCATTTTTTTTTATCTTATAGGATTTTTTTTAAACAATACACATAAGATATAATAAAGAAAATGTGCATTTTCAAGCTGACTACCGAGAATCCTTTCTTTTTAGCATTGATCTGACATTTTAACACATCTGTATATCATTCCCCCACTTGTGAAGTAATTTATCTGTTATATATTCGAATTCAGAATTTATTTATGTATAAAAATACATATCTGACATTTATAATATATAGTGTATGTATATCATTGTGGGTGTTGGCAAGATTCCAAAATGTTCTCCACCAGTAGATTTATTTAAAGTCTTTATTTTGAGTGTGTATGCACCTGGGTAGTAAGACACTGAAAATCTCACCGGAAAAAAGACAAAAAAAAAATTTTTGTTTCTTAAATTTGTTTCAGTAATGGTAATTCTATAATAATATATAATTACACAACTTTACCTATTATTTGACAGTAACTATGGCATTTCTGCCATTCATGAGAATACATGAAAGCAGATTTTTTTTTTAGGTGAATTGAATAAAACACTCTGATAAAAAAATACCCTTTCATGTAAACCATCTTGCAATATATTGATGTCATATTGGAATAATTTTTCACATAAAAAATTAAATGTGCATGAAACTTAAAAGAAAAGAAAAAAAAGTATTTGAATTGTATACACATGAAGGAAAATTTATCATTTATCAAATATTAGATATTGAAGTAAGAATTATTTCCATATGAAAATTCGAAAATTCTAAACTTTTGATCAAATCTGCTTAATCAGTGACATTTTCTATATCCATTTAATTATAAAAATAATGATAATGAAAAAAAAAAGAAAAGAAACTTCCCATGTTCTGTCCACATATCAATTTTTTTAAAATCTTCCACCCAACCCCTTTTTCCCCATAAGTAATTGTGAAAGAATTCTGATAAATGTTTATTTGTGTATTTAAATGTTAAATTCAAGTTAGTAATTATATGGACACCCTACAATTTAGGACTTTCTGATGTTCAGTCCATTCTTTAATTCATGGAAGTTATAGCCACTAGCGGAATAGGTAAAATTAAGATAAATATAAATAACCATCATTTCGTAATGGGATATTTTGTAAACATCCAGTGGAGAGGTAAGTTGTAAATTTCTTTTGAGGTCAATGGAGCGGAATTTCGCGTATTTCAAATAGAATATCATGAGTGAAAATACCTTATGGCACTAGTGTGCACTCGATTTAGCTTCTGGGCGGGTTTATTGGAACGCTGTTGCGGGTGACAAAAATGTGTAAAAACTTAAGAAATAGGTTAATGAGGTTCATTATTGATAAAAGACGAAAGTAAACAATACATATACCATATAACCACTAATGCTGTACGTAAATAGATTTTTTGTTATGTTCATTTTATATTTTAATTTGCTGTTTTGTTTTATGAACTAGAAAAGAGACATATTCATTTTATTTTAAACAGTTAATTCATCAGATTATAATAATGTAATATAAGTGATCTGGACAATTTTTGAATTAAATATTGCATTATATCACCTCAGAATTTAATTCTATATAACTTTATATATCATTAAGAGAGAGAGAGAGAGAGATGTAGCCTTGGGGGGAAAATGAAAATCTGAAAACGATATGGGCATACAGTTTCGTTACTTTTCATCACTTTAAGCTAACTATGAGGTTAAATGCTTTATATAATTATTAATGAATTCACGTTAATTAGATAGCTATTTACCTTCTCTACACTTTTTTTTTCAGTTATGAGAATAAAGTTTATTGTCATTATTCTTCCTCGAGTACTGTCAGCGATTAAACGGCAATTAATCTTAATCTTTTGACATTTCGTTTAAATTGTTTTCAGATGAAGCAATAAGACTTAGATTATACTTATTAATAAGTGGACCTTTAAACAACACCTTTGAGGCGGTGAGAGGTCACTAAAGGTGCATTATCTTGGGTATTAGGTGAATTCCTATGATCCTATTTAAAATTATAGTTACTTATGTTGCTCAGTGACGCAACACTGGCTATTATCTCATCTTATTTAGACACCACACGTGGTCTATCACAAGTGACTCTCATGCAATCATTATATTGAGTACCTTTTTTCTTTACCTGACAGGTGTGTTTATCTGTTTAAGCTCCGCCCCCCTGCTTGTCAATCTCAGCATGATATCTATAAAAAGGCAAATTTTTCTACAAAACATCGTGATTTGGAATCAAACTTCAATTGTTCATCACCACTTTAAATTCAAGAAAAAATGTCTCAATACAACGGATCTCCCCCTCCATACTCAGAGAAACCGGTGAGTTTTTGTTTTTATTTGAATTTTCACCCAGGCACATGCCTGTATTTTTATTTATGTAAGTAATTAGATAATAAATGATGCAAATGTAATTCAGTTATAAAGGACTTAATTTAGTAATGAACAAGACAGCAGGTTCTGTCTAAATATACAATGCCACTTCTGCTCGTTACTTATTTATAAAAGTGATATGTCTTGAAATGTGATGTTTTCTTACCTTGATTAAATTTGAAAGAATATTTTTCTTTTAATACATTACAATTATTAACTTTCATAAATAAGAGATGAATAATTAGACCTCTCGATCTATTGACATCGCCATATAAAGGTTATAGAATACAAAGGTATAAGGTATAGTGACGTTTAGACATAAATAAAGAGAGAAGACACGTCTAAACATCCTTTCTGACAGGCCATATTTTACAGTTGGATCAAATTCATGCAGCCAGACATAAAGGAAAACACAACCTTCGTCTTTCTGACGTATTTGTAGTCTTGTCACCAAAACATCGACTTACTGTCCTCTACATGAATGAAAGAATGTGTGCACTCCTCTTAATGGCCGGAGATTTTTTTTCTCGTGTAAAATTTTGCTTCTTCTGTTTAATTGTAGAATTTATGAAACCATTGTTTTAATATCCAAAAATAAAACTTTTCAAGTACATATGTTTTAGAATAGGGCGTTTCATTAACCTGTAAGTTATGGTAATTGATGCATTTTTACAAAAACTAGGAAATAATAGAACGACCTTTTTTTAATCATTTCAACACGTCCGTCAATTACAAACTGATGATTCAAAGGAATTGTACCATGCGAACCCTTCAATTAAATACCACGTTTTTTTTAAATAAATAAAATCCCATCAGCTAAAAAATAAGTTTTATCTTGTATCTTTACTAAATTAATAAACATTGTACCAATAAATAAAATAAATGTCACATTTAAAAAAATCTTGTTTACTTCTACAAGAGGTTCATAAAGTTTATATGAACGGAAAAAAACTAGCCTCTACCCGTTATACTCGTAAAAGTAACGCGTAAATAATTTCAAGGTATGATTACGTGCAAAATGTATGAACGACTGATAGCGAACAGAAGAATATCATTGTCGACTTTTTGTATTGGACGCATTATGATTTTTCAGGGGGAACTGGATGAAAAATATGGACACAGCCAAGTCAATGGGGACAAACCCCTGGACAAGGTAGGCTATTACCTGCAATTCTTCAGTTTAATACATACAATATGATAACATGGTATTTTGGTAATATGAGCATGGTTTATTTTTATTTACACATCATTTTTTTTCCTCAGGGGGAAATAAACGATAAAGACGGATCTACCAAGGGACAGACAACCATACAGATGGTAAGAAAATAAGGAATCTCTAATTTAATATGTTACTTACCCTTTGAACACCCTGCTTTGTCGAAACGTGCATATAACTTCGTGAATTTAAATGTGTATGATCAGCATATTTATCTCTTTCATTTTCTCAAACTTTAGAATGGATATGAAAACAAAGGTTTTGATGGAACAGATGAAAAGGTAAGACACATATAACTAACAGAAAGAAAGGAACAAAAGTTTCTAAAGGTATTATAAAGATTGCAATGCATATAGTATTATTTCATTTCCTGAAGTTTGTTGACTTTCAATTCCAGCTGGACATTTCTCCCGAGAAAGAGGAAGACCCTTGGGCACTACCGGAGCTCAAGGATACAGGAATTCCATGGGATGGTATGCATCAATGTTCAGTTAACCAAAATTATACATTACCGAGTTCCTCCGTTAAATTTGCATCGAATAATACATGTAGTCTTAATTTTTGTTGAATTATCTATACAGAGTTGGACTTTAGTGGCAAAGTTCTCCGGGTGGTGTGGACGACCGTGCGAGTGATACTTTTCCTGACTTGTCTTTATGTCTTCTTCTGTTCTCTGGATTTTCTGAGTTCTGCTTTCAAACTTCTCGGAGGTAAGCCTTCTTTCAAAAATCACTTCTGCTAATTTAATCGTCTCATGTATGTTTTACAAATCAATCAATCTCACCTTGAATCAATTCTTTTTCCTCTAGGTAAGGCTGCTGGCGAGGTGTTCCGGAGTAATGTTGTCTTGCGGAACCCCGTGTGTGGGGTCATGATCGGAGTCCTATCTACAGTCTTAGTACAAAGTTCTTCCACCAGTACATCAATTGTGGTCAGCATGGTTGCAGCCGACAGTAAGTGAAAGCGTTTACGATTATAATTTGCTTGTTATAAAAAAAGGTTTTACTCGTAAGCATCAACCCCTCGTTCCTTATCCGCATTCCAAATCATTTTTTTAATATCTAATTCTTTTTTTTTTGTTTTAAGTTCTGGATGTGGGTGAAGCGATTCCAATCGTAATGGGTGCCAACATCGGAACTTCGGTAACCAACACCATTGTGTCCTTGGGACAAATCACGGATGTTTCAGATTTCCGGCGGGCGTTTGCCGGAGCTACGGTCCACGACATGTTTAACTGGTTAGCTGTCATAGTCTTGCTACCTTTGGAGCTCATCACCGGTAAGTCGACATGGAAACCGAAAATGTTTAAACCATCAAAAGGAAGTCTTCTCTATCTATCCAACTTGTCTCAGTCTTAACAGACTGTAATTTAATGATTTAATTTGAATTTTCAGGGTATCTTTATCATTTGAGTGGCGCAATTGTAGACAGCATGCACCTAAAGACGTACGAAGATGCCAACAAAGACCTGTTAAAGACGATCACCAAGCCTTTTACTAAAATGATCGTTGAAGTTAGTATTCTGATTCCTTAAACATTCCGTTCATCGTTTAGATTTCATATGATCTGGTTACCTGTGAGTAAAAGTGAGGTCATATCAAAATCCCTAACATTTATTGCGTGATTTTTTGTAGGTCGACTCCAAACAGATTAACAAAATCGTCACCGATGGAAAGGAAGTCGACAGTCTTCTTAAAACGTGCTGCAAATCGAAAACGGTCATGGCAAAGAACGCTACTGGTTTTGAATTCGAGGAGAAAATTTGTACAAAAAATTGTAAGCCAATTATTTTTCTTCTTCTTTACTATGTTATTTGCAGATGTATATACATGTATCTTTATTCCATGGCCAAAAGTATTAAAATGTTGATCATTTATTTTTCTTTCTAAAGGTACACATCTTTTTATGGACACCGGCCTATCGGATGCCGCCATAGGAAGCATTATGTTGGTCGTTGCCCTGATTCTACTCTGCCTATGCCTCTTTGGTATTGTAAAGATCTTGAACTCTCTCCTGAAAGGAAATATCCGTAAAGTCATCAAGAAGTTCGTAAACTATGAATTTCCCGGAAAAGCCGCCTATTTCACTGGTTATATCGCCATTGTAATCGGCACTGGTCTTACCATTTTGGTTCAGTCCAGTTCTATTTTTACTTCCACTATGACACCACTGGTGGGCGTGGGAGTAATTGGCATTGACAGAATGTACCCTTTGACCCTTGGCTCCAACATCGGGACCACCACTACCGGGATTTTGGCAGCTCTGGCGACAGACACCTCTGATGGCATAGAACACCTTAAAAATTCCCTTCAAGTTTCCATGTGCCATTTGTTTTTCAACCTTAGTGGCATTATTTTGTTTTATCCGCTGAAATTTATGCGATTTCCCATTCCTTTGGCAAAATTCCTGGGCAACACTACTGCCAAATATCGCTGGTTTGCCATCTTTTATTTGATTCTAATGTTCTTTGTCTTCCCACTGCTGGTGTTTGGAATCTCTCTGGCTGGAATCGAAGTTCTGGCCGGCATTGGTATACCATTTATTTGTGTCCTCTTCATCATTGGCATCATTAAGGTGCTGCAGAACAAAAAACCAAATTTGCTTCCAAAAAAGCTCCAAAATTGGAAGTTCCTTCCCGTGTACTTCCGGTCTCTGGAACCATTAGACAGGCTATTTTCTAAACTCTGTGGTTGTTGTAAAATGTGCAAGAAGGAAAAGCACACTCCCAAGGGAGACCTTGAAAAACAAATGAACACAAAATTGTGATATTCTGCTTAAATGTTTTTTTTTACGTATGTCAGTGTGTTTTACTTCTTAAAAAATTCCCATTATCTTTAACCTTCTTGCCTCTACGACTGTTAATGGCAAAACATTGGTTAAATACATATAACCACAGACAGCAATTATAGAATGTGTTCATTGTTGTAAATATCAAAACATGAGATCTGTTTAAATCCAGAAAGAGAGAGAGAGAGAAAAAGAGAGAGAGAGTTTTAACATACATTTTTAACTAAAACATTTTAACATGACGAAAAGAACAACTTTATTCTTTGAATGTTCATTTTTCTTCAATGAAGCTGTGATATGGATCTTTTCTTTCAAGGAAAGAAACTTACTATGTACATATTGTTATGCTGTTTTGAAACACTTTAAAATATACCTTTGAAATATTGTTATATTAAAATGCTGTTTTATAATTCATTTGGTCAGTGTTTGTTACAATTTTTAAAAAAGTTTGAAAATAACTGGAGTTTCTAGCATTACAGAAATCATGGCTTTGGACTGCACAGAACATGCCGTATTTCGGAAAGCTGAACAAAGTTGGAGTTGACAAGGAACATTCGAATATTAAATATTTGAATATTGAATATTTGAGAGAAAACATTGTGCATTTGCTTTTCTGACAAATCAACAAACATCGAAGGGTACAGTATAAGCTAAAATGACACCTAGCTGCAAAGGCGTACGATAACATTCTTTCTAGGATTATAGAACTTCACGCCGCAAATTCCTGTTTAAATCATTTTATTTATTTTAAAAAAAGAGAGAAGAAAGAGATAATTTCAGTTATAAATCTATATGTCATGGTAAAATAGCGAACAAACATCACTAGTTTTGCTCCTTAATAAATTTCTATAAAGGACGCAAACAGATGCTTGGAAAAACAGACCCTACTAAAAATAACACCTTCCTACAAAGATAATTTACTGTGGCCAATATAAAAATCGCTATCATAACACATCAAATATCGGGATAGGTTCATACTACCCATTTTAAGCATTAAAGTTTATAAACTTGTCAGAAAAGGTCATCATTTAATCAAGCGTGCAGTCCTCTACTCAAACCGTATTATGAGTAGTATCAATGACATTATAGTTTGAAAATCTACTTGTATATACAAATATTTGCTCAGAAGTTTCAACAATAAACTCGTTCTTTGTATATGAATATCAAATATTATTGAAAAATGTTTTTGTGCACACGATCAGGCTCTTTGAAGTGCCTTTCTTCAAACAGTGGCAGTATTATCAGAGTATCAGATGACCACAGGACTGTGTGTATTGTCGCTTCATCTGCTTTCACGGTGGGTGAACGAGGATAGGGTCCACTAAAAATGAATTATCATTAATATTGCTGTCATTTATGAGAAAGAAAAGATATGCATCCACCATAATGTATGTATTATCGAATGATATACATAACTCAGATAGAATGTTGACATTTCGTAAAACACCCCAGGCAATATCTTTGTTTTGTTAAAACAAACTGTTGACACCTTAGTATGTTGATATATTTTTTTAATTGCTCGAAGTGTAAGCAAAAATCCTAAGATATAATTAATAGTATTTGATAATTTGAATTCTGATCGGAAATGCACACATCTATAGACGGAGTGATGGATTTTGTATAATTTTGAATTTCCACCCTGGTCTCCGTTGCCATTACTATTCTTGTCCTCAAACCGAAACAAATTGAAAAAAAAATATCAAAGGTTTAATAAATTGATTTAATCAAAGCACAACTTGTAAAACAAGAGGAATTGTGTACGGTCCTCAGAATGCCTTTTCAACGTGAAATTTATAATGACTGGAGACTTAGAAACTGAGTTACTGCTCAGTAATCACCTACCGGGTAAAAAAAAAATCAACAACCAGAAACCAAATTGTCTAAATAAAACAAGCATTCCACGGTCAGTTTACAACAGGGTAAGAAAACAGGGTTTAGAGACCTCAAGTTTATTAATGAAATAGTTTTCTAAATTTAGGTGACGAAATGACTGGGCAAAAATTCCTTTTAAACTCGAAATATGGCCCTTTAAAAGTTGATATAAAATGTGTGAAAAGCCGTAATGGACAGGAACAATTGAAGTGAAATGTAAAGAAATGTTTCTGCCTCCGTCATGAAGTCTGTAAGTCGTTATGTATCCATCTCTTCAAAATTTTCAACATTTCCTCTTTTTTTTTTTTTTTTTTTTTTTTTTTTTTTTTTTTTTTTTTTTTTTTGTTGAAATTTTGTTTTGAACATATTAATTGTATTGTATATTCAAAAGTATTGGATATAGATTCTTTCATCTTAGTGTATCCTTTTTCTTGTAAATGTAATTTGTATATTATGACATTTAAATTGAACAAATTGTTAATTTGTTAGAGGACACTATGAAGACACTTGCCAAAAAATTAAAACTGTTGATTTTATGAGAGGAAAAAAAAGCTGAAAAAATATGTTCCCTCAACCTTTCTAAAAATTTAAACTCAACGCTCGTCTCAAGGCCAAGGTTCATGGTTTCAACGAACTACTCAGGAGAATATTCACCTATAGAGGTGATTTCAGAGTAACAAGAATCCCACTGTAACAGTACACGCATTGATTGTGCACTAGGCCCGTTGTGCCGGGGCACGTCTTTTTTCTAAGAATAGTATGGAAATTGTCATTTAAGGTAGGCCGATCGATATCATCAGGTTCTGAAAATCAGCAGTCAAATAATTGAAAAGTCTTACAATTCACGAAGTAATGTGCATTTAGCCCATTTACCCATGGTATTTCAGGGAGCGGATATAAATGGGTAAAATGAACTGGTAAGAAACCTTATGTCAATGAAACAAATGCTAAACTATACGACGCCTAAGTCTATTAAAGAATTCCATATTTCACAAACAAGTCACATGGCAGACTGAAGGAAATTAGAATATATTATGAATCGAAAAGATTTTGGCGTCAAGATTACTATAGCAAATATCTGGTTTCTTCCTCCAGCTCTTGTGAATACTATAGTATCAATGACATGCAAATACAATGTTTCTAACCAAATATGTACCTAATAATTTGAACAATAGCCGAACTATCTGATCAAATATCAATATATTGCTGCGCAAACAATTTTCCTTGTTGGAAACACCTATCTTCAATAGCTAGAATTCAGCAGAAAGACCTAAGTAAGTTCTATACATGTATATCTTGTGATATAGGAATCTGAAATGACAGCTGGTATCTGTCGTCCGCTGATTGAGGAATTAGCTGTCACAGTCTGCACTTATCACAAAAGCTTGAGAACCAGTAATAGAATGTTTGACAGCTTAATATGCACACAAAGAAGCATCAAGCTTCTGTCATAACCAAATAACCCAATCGGAAAACATTAAAACAAGTTTTCTGTGCACTTTTTGGTCAATAACTTGCAAAAAAGTAATTTCATAGGCTTGCAAATCACCTGAGGGAATCTGAGAAATTGATTTTGTTTTTTAGTTAATTATTGTGTCAAATCAAAGTTCTTGACAACCTGAAAACAAGCATTCTGAAAGTATTGTATTAGCAATACTAGTCCCCTACCGGCAAGTGTAATCTGGTTCCCGTTAAGAATTGAAAATGCCATAATTCCGTCAAAAATCAATGAAGCGGGGCGAAATGCAAACTTGATCTATAACTAATCAAGGTAAAGTCACATACCAAAAATCAGCTCAATATCTGAAAGCGTTTAAAAGAAAATTGCGGAAAACCCCTAAAAATTGAAAAGGCCGTAATTTCGTCAAAATTAATGAAGCGGAACGAAATGCAAACTTGATCTGTAACTCATCAAGATACACTCACATACCAAAAATCAGCTCAATATCTGCAAGCGTTCAGGAAAAAAGTGCGGAAAACCAAGTGGGACAGACTGAAAGACAGACAGAGGGACAGACAGACAGACAGACAGACGGACGGACAGACTCAGAGGAAACCTATAGTCCCCTTCGGTTTCACCGGGAGGGGACTAACAAGCATTCTGAGAGTATTGCATTAGCAATACTAGTACCCTACCGGCAAGTGTAATCTGGTTCCCCTTAAAAATGCCATATTCCCGTCAAAAATCAATGAAGCGGAACGAAATGCAAACTTGATCTATAACTCATCGAATTAAAGTCACATACCAAAAATCAGCTCAATATCTGCAAGCGTTTAGAAAAAAAATGCGGAAAACCAAGTGGGACAGACAGACAGACGGACGGACAGACTCAGAGGAAACCTATAGTTCCCTCCGGTTTCACCGGTAGGGGACTAATAAGCCTATCCATGAAACAATCCGAACCTGACGTACACGTATGATTTACATAACAAATTGGAAAATATAAACTTGATAAGTCTCGAATAACTTTTAAATATTTGGTATATCTCTGGCTGAAAATCTTTGGATTCTGATTTGGCTTTGCTATGGTAACATGGACAACAATTAAAACAAATATGAATCTACCTACAGGCTTTTTTTTCTTTTCCAAAATAAGAAGTAACCTGAAGAAATATTAAGCCGAAATCAAAGAAATATTTTAAAACATTAAGATTAATTCCAAATCTGAAACCAGCAATTAGAAAGACAGAGAAGTGTTGCTTTGCCTCAGTGCCTTTAAAAAAAAAAACAAAAACATTTCTACTCGAGTATCTGTTAAGAATTTTCAATTGCAACAATATCAACGTTTTTGACGATAAGCTTCCCAAACGGGTATAATGTGCTATACAAACATGGTAGAAGATGCCTACCTTCAAACAATAAAACTCAGCAAGGGTTGTCCCTGTAAAGATTGGTGAGGTTTAGATATACTGAAATGGTCGCTGTTGTTCCAGCTGTCTACAGTATTATTCATTGATTGTTCATTTTATTTTTATTATAGAATACCAAGATTTAATTTTCAAGAAATTTCAAGCTTGTGAAAAAAATAATACAGGCAGTAAACATTAAATTAAAAAATAAAGATTTTTTGTATATACTGTAACGTGCGGGACCCGGGCGATCTCCTTGGGCTCGTACTTGGTTAATGCCCAAGTCTTATGAGGACAATAATAAATGCAAAATATACAGATCAAAAGCAATATATACAGATATAGAGAACACTTGCCTAGTGTATAATGTAAACAGTATATATCGAGATTCCTGCCACTTGGCTACATCAACGCCACTTGGCTATACGACCGCCACTTGACTTTACAATGACCACTTGGCATATGCTTTTACCCCTTGGCTTCTACAAAGGCCACTTGCCAATACCTGCCACTTGACTACAAAGGCCGTCGGGGAATTCTAGCCACTTGGTTATACACGTCAACTGGTTACACCAGGTTTGGACAATTGACGATACAATCAAATATTTCTTTTACTTATCAATCAAACACTTGTCTACTAGAACAACTTACAAATGACAATCGATTCTTGACAGAAGATCGTCTCTAGCAAACTGAATTCAAAATTGTACACACCAAACCCATTGGCCATTTTGCTACTTATATAATCTTTATATCAATAAAATTAAGTGTTTTCACTGGCAAGAATCCGTTTCTGAGCGTTCCTGAGCATACTTTGCTCGTCTCAACCAAACAATTATTTTTGGTTTGTTTTTATACATATAACGTTCTTTATTGTAAAATCATTTAATCAAATAACCCGTTAATTACACTATTCACAATGATTTCTTAATTAAAGCAATGTAACAAAAGGGGAATAACTCTAAACCGTTTCATTTCTCCCCCCTTAGCTCATGCGTCCCGCATGATAATATGTACATGTCAATATTGCACTATTTGGTACAAAAACAAAAATTACCAAGAAATAAATGAAACTCAAAAATCTATAAAACTGTCTGTTCAACATAAGCCTAACTGTTCAATACAACATGTTACAAGTCTTTTATTTTTCTTTACAGCATTTTCTCTTTCTTAACTGTGATGACTTTTCTGCCACCCTCCTTGACGATAGTGGTCGTCGTAATTGATTTTGTGTATCGAACTGGCTCCGTTTGAGTAGAACAGTCAGCCATTTTTCTCTCGGTCCGCACCTCGGCAGACGCACGTATGTTTATCGAGGCAGGAGGATCCCTTTGCTCAGCATCCAACATACTCGTACAAGGTCGAGCTACCTTGAGTGGTGCTGGGCTGTATACTGGCATCGGAGAAGTTCTCTTCCTCACTGTAGGATCATTTGTCGTCCCAGTGTCTACTTCTTGACTCCTCTCTTCAAGATGCACAGTTTCTGTAGCCTCACCAATACTAACATCTGGGTCTTTCGACAACCACGCCTCCTCATCCTCTGATGAAGACCCATGGTCTTCATCTGCCTCCTTACTTCTTGTGGAATCTGCTACACTGTTGTCGTCACAAGTATCTTCTGTCACTTTGCTGCAAGAGGGACGATCATTTTCCTCTTTGCGACTTGTAGAGTGGTTTCTCTTCACATGTCTGAGATAATTGATCTTCTTCTCTGTACTATAGTCACACTGTTTGCAGAAGAACCTGTTCTCGTAACATTGCGCCATATGGTCTCTCCATGTCGTATGATTCGTTGACTGGAATGGGCAAAACGGACACTTCCGTACAGTACCCCCACGGCTTGTTACTTTGGTATTAGGCATGCTCCTGCAATGACAAAAATTAGGTAATTCTGTTTGAACAAAGTAAACCTTCAACAATGCAATACTTGACAAAGAATATTATGCAATCAAAATAAACTGGCTGCTATTTACAACTGGTTACCCCTGCCTAGGGCACCCAACATGCTAATATACATAGTCTTGGAGCCAACCGGGAGCTTTTCTAATCCTACCAGAATGAAGAGTTTCGAGGTTGTTGTCAACCTCGCTTGGTAGATGTTCTATCTCCGGCTCCTCCCTTTCAGCAGTACTAGAATCTGTATTCTCTAGAGGACTTTCTTCCTCGTTTCGCAAAATTTGGTCACGCTTTAACCTGAGTCTATCTACGTGTACAACTTGTGCTTTTCCACGTGGCCCGCAGTTTACTTTGAATGTGAGGTCAGTTATCTTATCCAAAATTTCATATGGACCTCGCCAGTAGCTCGTGAACTTTGGAGACAGACCAACTTTCCGCAAAGGGAAATAGACATAAACCTGATTTCCTTTGGTAAACTTTTGCCACGAGAGCTTCTGATCATGGTATTTCTTTTGGCGGACCATTGCTGCCTTGATATTTTCTCTGACAAACTTATGGGCTTCTTCCATTCTTTCCTTGAGTTGCCAAGCCCATTTGTTTTTTGGGTATATACTTTACTGCGTTTGGCATTTCATACATTATGTCAAGAGGCGTAGATACCTCTCTTCCGAGCATCATGTAATTTGGTGTGAACCCAGTGGTTTCATGTACTGAGGCTCGGTATGCCATCATAACATACGGCAGGTAACTGTCCCAGTCAGAGTGGTGCTCATTAACATATGCACTTAACATTGTGGCAAGTGTCTTATTAAAGCGTTCGACCATCCCGTCACTTTGCGGGTGATACGGGGTGGTACGAGTCTTCTTTATTTGTAGCACACGACACATCTCAGAGAAAAGTTCACTTTCATATTGGCGTCCTTGATCTGAGTGGATACTGGACGGCACACCAAATCTTGACACTACTTCCTCTACTATTATTCTTGCAACTGTAGCTGCCTCCATGTTAGGCATTGGAAAACTCTCAGTCCACTTGGTGAAATAATCAGAGACAACAAGTATATACTTGTTGCCACTTTCAGTGACTGGGAGCTCACCAAGAATATCTGTTGCAATTCTATCCATTGGTAGTCCACTTTCTACAAGTGTCATTGGTGCCTTCTTTTTCATCTGAGGATGCTTTCGTCTGGAGCACTTCTCACAACCTGCAATATAGGCCCTTATATCTGCCTGTAACCCTGGCCAGTAATACTTCTGGCGAATTCGTGCAAGCGTTTTGGTAACACCCAAGTGACCAGCGGTCTCCAAGTCATGGCAATATTGGAGAACCATTCTACGCTCTGTTGCTGGTACGACTGCCTGCAGGCTAGAGAAATTGCCTTCAGTGTACTTTCTGTACAAGATATCATTTTCCAGAACAAGTATACCCCATTGAGACCAAAGAGATCTTACAACATATCCTAAACCACTTATCTCTTTGTAATCTGGTCTTCTTTTCTCATGCAACCAACTTTTGACAAGTTTCAAGTCACTATCCTGATCTTGAACATCTTTTATTTTGCAATATGGCTCTTCAATAGCACCTGCTTTTGCTGCATTGCAAACAGGTGCCTCTTTTTCTGGTTCGTATCCGCACTGGCGGCATGGCACTCTGCTGAGGGCATCTGCATTTCTATGTTGCAAGCCCGGGCGATGCTGGATCTGGAACTTGAAAGCGCTGAGTGTTTCCAGCCACCTAGCTAGCTGACCCTCAGGATTCTTGAACTGAAACAACCATCTTAGCGACCCATGGTCACTGCGGACAAGGAACTGCTTACCGTACAGGTAATGTTTGAAATACTTTACAAAGTGTACAACTGACAGAAGTTCTTTCCTAGTCACGCAGTATTTTCGCTCACATTTGGTTAGGGTCCTGCTTGCGTATGCTACGACTCGTTCAATGCCATTTACGTTTTGTGACAACACTGCCCCTATGGCCTGATCACTAGCATCTGTATCTAATACAAAGGGGAGATTGAAATCTGGATGGGTTAGGACAGGAGAATTGGTTAGATGGTGCTTCAAGCTTTCAAAGGCTTCTTGGCATTGTTTGGTCCAGACAAAGGGTTTCCCTTTTTCAGTTAAGGTGTGGAGACATTTGGCAATCGCAGAGAAGTTCTTGATGAAGCGGCGATAATATCCGCATAGTCCCAGAAATGACCTAAGCTCGGTGACGTTTGCAGGTACCGGCCATTCTTTCACTGCAGCAATTTTGGTTGGGTCAGTTGCCACACCCTTTTCGGAGACAACATGCCCAAGATAAGTAACCTCTTTTGCAAAAAGGCAACACTTTTTGGCTTTTAACTTTAAGTTTGCACCTTGTAATCTGTCGAACACTTTGGTCAGGTTAACAAGCATCTGGTCAAATGTCTTACCTGTGACAATGATGTCATCTAAGTAGACTAAACACATGTCCCATTGTAGCCCTAGTAGAACACTCTCCATCAGGCGTTCAAAAGTTGCTGGTGCACAACTTAAGCCAAACGGCATGACATTAAACTCAAAGAGCCCTCGCCTTGTGGCGAATGCAGTCTTTGGCTTGTCAGCTGGCGCCATCTCCACTTGCCAGTATCCGGAGCATAGGTCAAGTGTAGAAAACCAAGTGGAACCTGACAACTGGTCTAGAGACTCATCAATCCTCGGGAGAGGATACGCATCTTGCAATGTACAACTATTCAATCGACGGTAGTCTACACAAAACCTATGCGTTCCGTCTTTCTTCTTGACTAATACTATTGGTGATGACCAGGGACTATTTGAAGGTTGAATAACACCTCTCTCCAACATGTCGTCTATGTTTTTGTCAACCTCGTTCATCAAGTGGGCTGGTACTCTCCTTGGTTGTTGTTTAATGGGTCTGCTGTCACCTGTCTCAATATGGTGTTTGACTATCCCTGTTCGGCCAAAGTCAAAGTTATTCTCTGCAAACAGACTAGTGTATTTAATGAGAAACTCTTTTGCCTTCTGTCTCTGTTCAGGAGTCAAACCGCTTTCCGACTTCCTTAGTAAATCAGCAAGGTCCTTGCGTAGCTCTTTGAATGGCAACATGTCATCAGACATAGACTTCTTTTGTACTTCTCCAATCTCTGTCAGCTGTCCTACAACTGTTCCTGTGCGCAATACCTTGGACTCCTCACTGACATTCATCAACCTTACAGGAACTATTTCCCGTGGACGCACCATCGTCCTTGCTGTCAGTGTACTCTCATTCATAGCCTCCTTGCATACTGGCTCCACTATGCTATCGCATTTTGGCAGATTTAAGCCATCTGGTACACATACTTTTCCTTGGACAATAACCTCACTTCTTGGGGGAATACTCACTGTGTCTACTGTGGTAACGCGGAAACAGCCTAGTGACCCCTCTATTGACATAATAACGTCCTTCCCGTTGATGTTTAGCACTTCATTGCTCATGTCTATGGTACAATAGTTTGCCTTTAGGAAGTCAAGACCTAAAATTCCATCTACCTTGATATCTGTGACAACAGCGTCGTTGTGGTAGGTCTTTTTGTCAATAGTAAAGTTAAATTCCGCCTTCCCTCTGACTGACAATGGAGTACCATTGGCAGACATAATGGTCTGACTAACTTTATGCAGGTTTGGTCTGACAGTTTCAGACAATTTCTCGTACAATCTTGCTGACACGAGAGTAACAGTAGCCCCAGTGTCAACCAAAACTTTTGTTTTCTCACCCTGAATATTGACATTGACATACAACCCACATTCTTCAACTGCAGATCCGAGCCCAACAGACACTTGGGGACATTTTCTTGGTCCTTTGTCATCTGGGCGATCATCAGTTTTACTGTATTTCTGTTTGGCCCTATTTCTCAATGTAGGACAGTTGCGCTTGATATGTCCTGGTTTGTTACATTCATAGCATATGACTTCTTGTCTTGCCCTATCTGCTTTCTTACCACTGTTCTTATGCCACCTGTTATTCTGTATTTGCCTCGTTGTCTTTAATTCTTTCAACTCTTCTGCTAAGCTTTTCATACTATCTTCAACAGACTTCATCCAGCCCTCAAGTCTGCCGTTTACAACTGTGTCAGGTTGCTCTTCTGTTACAGCCGATCTTAAATGCCCCTTTAGCTCTCTTTCCCTTCTTTCGACTCTATTATATGCTTCTAGCTCAACTGCAAGACTTATAGCCTCATTAAGATTTGCTGGCCGTGACTGTTTGATTCTAATACGAATGTCTGAATCTATCAGTGCATCAATGAAATGATCCTTTGCAAGTGTTTCTCTGACTTCACCAGGCGCCGTTGGGTACGCTAAGTTGGTAAGACGACGAATGGCTTGACCAAGCTCAGACAACGTTTCTGTAGCCTTTTGTCGCCTTTCTTTAAGCTGCACTCTGTACAAATCGGTCTGGTTTGGCGGGGAGAATCTTTCTTGCAAAGATCTAACAAGTGCCTCATATTGTTGTCCCCTGTCACTTGGCATGTCGCCTAGCACAGCTTGTGCTTGCCCACGTAGTGACAAAGCAAGGAACAACCCCTTTTTCACTTCGTCCCAACCATTGACATTGGCACAGGCTTCAAAATGGCACTTGTAATCAAGCCAAGAGCTTGAGCCATCGTAAGTCGCTGGCTTAATGGCTATTTTACTGTCTCTATCTGTCCTAGACGTCTCTGTCCGCAATGGTGGACTTGGATTGTCTTTGGGAACATCTGGTTCAGAAGGCTTCTCGCGATTACTTGCACCGAATGACAGATTGCTTTTCAGCCAGTCACCATACTCTTGTCCTTTACCGTGTTGTTCGTCAGCAAAGTGGACCTTTGGTCGCGCCCCGCCACTGGCATATGCATATGGAGACTTGTCTCTGGCCTCATACCTATCGTAATTTGCATCTTCCTGTGCATCGTGGTCTGTAAACGAAAATGAATTTTCTTTTGGCGACATTTCACGTCGGTACAGCTCGTAAGACCCATGTGTCAAATTGTCTCGACTCTTTGTTTCATGATGCTTGTCACTCTTAGGAGTGGAACTGTCAAGACGATAACGCTTCAATTTCTCCTCTATCCTATCCATCGTTGCAAGCATACTTGCGTCCACAGCAATGTGGTCTTTCCCCGTTGCACTCATTATGTCCTATAAGATCCCACCGCTGCCACCAAATTTTGTAACGTGCGGGACCCGGGCGATCTCCTTGGGCTCGTACTTGGTTAATGCCCAAGTCTTATGAGGACAATAATAAATGCAAAATATACAGATCAAAAGCAATATATACAGATATAGAGAACACTTGCCTAGTGTATAATGTAAACAGTATATATCGAGATTCCTGCCACTTGGCTACATCAACGCCACTTGGCTATACGACCGCCACTTGACTTTACAATGACCACTTGGCATATGCTTTTACCCCTTGGCTTCTACAAAGGCCACTTGCCAATACCTGCCACTTGACTACAAAGGCCGTCGGGGAATTCTAGCCACTTGGTTATACACGTCAACTGGTTACACCAGGTTTGGACAATTGACGATACAAACAAATATTTCTTTTACTTATCAATCAAACTCTTGTCTACTAGAACAACTTACAAATGACAATCGATTCTTGACAGAAGATCGTCTCTAGCAAACTGAATTCAAAATTGTACACACCAAACTCATTGGCCATTTTGCTACTTATATAATCTTTATATCAATAAAATTAAGTGTTTTCACTGGCAAGAATCCGTTTCTGAGCGTTCCTGAGCATACTTTGCTCGTCTCAACCAAACAATTATTTTTGGTTTGTTTTTATACATATAACGTTCTTTATTGTAAAATCATTTAATCAAATAACCCGTTAATTACACTATTCACAATGATTTCTTAATTAAAGCAATGTAACAAAAGGGGAATAACTCTAAACCGTTTCAATACTTTATTGTTCACTGGGTAGAGTTATAAATAAATGAATAACCAATATACAAGTACTTATGACAGAAATGTATATGTGAAGAAATAGAATATTCTGTATAAGTATGGGTATAAACTCAGGAGAGGAAACCGCTCTTATTTCAGAGATTCTACCAAATATCTATACAAGAGTCCCTTGTGTGGATCATTCAGAAACAGGCGTTTGACGTTGTATTTTGTTCTTTATCACAAAAAATACATGTATAAACCCTATATTTTTTTTACTTCAAGTACCATGTAGGTTTAACGTACATACTTACAAAAAAATTATCTCCTATTTGAGGCCTCAGTTCAAAACAAGGGTAAATAACTTAATATTCAAATTTTAATGACTACAGCTACTAATATACTAATTAATTGAATTAAAGTACGATGTGTTTACTTTAAAAGGGGGTTACATTTTCGTCCTATATTCTGATAGGTTAACTTTCGAACACTAATTGTGTCTTTCTTCAAAGGGCACTGATCTACACTTCGGGTCTTGCATAATAATTTATAACTAATTGTACCTTTGTTTTTCTTCTATATATTCCTAGTCATACTTTTGACCAAACTGTGACCGTGTATTGTTTGAACAAATTTAACCTAGTTGTTCAGCATGAACATACCTGCATATTTAATTTCAAAATTTAATGTCCTGATGTGAGATATGAAATCTCTTAAATATGCAAATGAAACAGCAGTGTAATTAATAAAATTGAAAAAGGAGGAATATTAGAAGCTTTTTTAAATGTGTAAAGGCGTCTAAATGAGTTCTTTTACACATATCAGAGATTATATGTTTTTAATGCTGCTTAAACTTTTTTAAAATTACTTTCTTTAAACAGCAAATTTGATTATTTAAGTAGTAATGTATATAAAGTGCTCTAGCAAAACGATCTATTAAAAATATTTATGTTGTTATTGAGTGTGCATGCTAAATTGCAGTGTTTTCTTCATGATAAATACTTACAGGCAGGTTGATGTGCATGTGTTAATAGTAATCATACAGAAACACATGATCATTTCCTATTTGCTTGTCTTAAATTCATGGCTCGATTTCTTCAGCATAAAGTGAAACTTCCTATTCGGACCGAAGCTAATAAATCAAGTGATGGGCAGGTGTCTTGCACATGATACCACTGGAAATATGCTATTATAGTTTAGCTTATCCTTATTTTAAATTATGTAAATAAAATGTATACTATTTCATTTTTAGGACTTAAAAGATCAGGGGTATAACGTTTTTGCCCTTCTTTTTGTCTGTCTACGAAAACTTTCATATCTGGCCTAAAATTTGGAATGAAAAATGGAGATAAGGAAGAGTAATCATAAACAAATTAAACAAAACAAATTGTGATCAGAGCAAACATGCACTCTGAAAAAATCAGAGGTGAGGTAAGATGAATTGGAGGAGTAAGCATCCCCTGTCGACTGGTCACATCTCCTGTGTGCCCCTACTCATGATAGGGTAAATTTAGAAATCCGTAGAAAATTCAGTATGAAAACCAATTGCCTAACAATTTGTATGAAAGATATAAGTCAATATTCGACCCAATCTGATCAAACCATCAGATTTTTTTACGCCCCGAAATTTTGATAGTCGCTGTGCACTTTGTACAGCGAATATCAGACTTTCGGAGCGTAACAATGAAATGATTTTAATCAGCTTATATTCAAGCTAAAGACAGATTGTATTTGCAACCAAGATCATTGTATAGATCATAGAACTTGCGAAATACTGACTTTAAACGAGATTGTTGATACCCCTTGTATCATCAACTTATTTTTCAGTGACATGCCTAGCTTTAGAAACATGCTATTGCGTATCGAATCAACTGGGAGACATAATCAAAATTGTCGCTCCCTAGCACTTTGTCATAAGTATGTTTTACTCCCACATAGCTAATATACTACCGAAACATTAAGAAAAAATTTGGCAGTAAATTTTGCTTTGAATTTTCAAAAGATGCTAATGACACATGATCATTTTACGACACTTTACATTTATTGCGATGTTCATCATCGTGCCGTACAGCATCCTCTGCAGAAATCATCGACATCTTCGGGGATATTTTGATCAGCACATGAAGACTGCAGCAGCAGATTTGATGCATTTTCTTGTTACATAATTCGATACCCAGGAAGCATACTGATTAAAGGAGTCTTTTAATTCAGTTCAAAGTGAATACGAAATCTTGGATGAGTAGAATACAGTTTCTCAAATCACTTTAATCATTTTCATCAGAATCCATGTACAATATCCACGTACAATGTACATGTATTTAATTAACCGAAATGATTCTATTATCTTTAATCTTCATGTAACATTAATAATAATACACGAGACTTATCATCCTATGTAACATGCTACTTAACTTTAAAGAATTGTTTTAGTTTGGAAAGAGTGTCAAGGACACAGCGAAGTACAGCGCAAATGTCAGAAAATTGCAAAGTATGCGGGAAAACACAATTAATCCTGCAAATTCCCTGTTTGTAAATAGGGCACTTAACATATTAACATTCATATGCGTCTGAACTGAGAGATAAATTCTGAGTTTTCCCTTTTCTAATAGTAAGGAGAGAGACAGAGATCGAAACTAGTTCCGTCTTATTGATTGGTGATGCACATGTATGTGAAAATTGTGATTTATTCTAAAGGATGTCGGTACATTCTGATTCTGAATTGTTGGGAAAATCATACGGACCATGAGCAGTAAGACAGTTGGTAAATATGCGGATTACGTGTCTGAGATGTACCCTAGTAAAGGTAGTTGTACTCCTCTAACTGGAATTATAATGCATGTTCATCGAGAATTCTTATTATCTGGTAGAAAAAGCAAGGGTTACTGTATAGCAGTTTGTCTGCAAGCATGCCAGTTTGTCTGCCTGTCTGTGTATACTATGTGCTTGTCTATCTTTAATAGTCAGTATACTAGAGTTCATGTTTAGTTATAATTAATGTTCATGTGTGATGCGTGTCTCAGGTATTGCAGCATCAAAACATGACCCCTAGGGATGCATGTCTGTTGGTTCTGTATTGACCACTTTTCATATTACATTGACGACCGTTCGTCTTGCAATGACTATATTTTTCATTTTTCATAGACTACGTTCGTTTTGTGATATATTATTATGACTGTTTATTATTTTTTAATTAATATTTTTCGTAATTATTTCATCAATTTATTTTGTTTTTAAAACATTCAAAGACGTATTTTATATCCCTTTCGTGTCTTCATTTATAATAATTTACGACCCAAAAAGTGCTAACATATCTTCTGTGCCTTGAATTAATCTATTGTTGTGTCTCCATTTTATCTTGTTTAAATCACTGTTTTCAACTATCTGAACTATAGTGACACAACTTGTGTAACCTCTGCTGAAAAGGTTCACAGCATGTGATACATGTAATATGTCGTCCCTTGCAGATGGACCTGAAGAGGCTACCAAACTTAACAGTCAATCTTCTAAAGAAAATGACAGAGCGGAGGCAACAACCCTGGTAAACAATCTTTGATGCATATTATTATTAGTTTTTAAATAGAGATATATCTTAAATAAGGAGTCATGGTCACCTGTATTTCTTGATTACACGTGATTTACTCCATGTCCCGTTATCTTGGTCCTACTTACCTACACAGATAGAAGCCTCACCGCCAAAGGAAGATCCCTGGGCATTGCCTGAACTAAAAGATACAGGGACCCCTTGGAAAGGTCAGAAACTGCTTTCTGTATTATACTAAAGGCACAATTTTGAATGGAGATGGCCAACAAAATATAATCTTCACGGCATCAACAAAATCAGTATCTGATGTAATGGTTAAAACCAAGGATAGGGTGTATTCTATTTAAAAGCTACATTGTAATTCCTGGACAAAATATGTAAAAAGATTTCAACAGCCAAATGGTCAGCCATCATGACTTTTGCAATACATGTACAAGATTTTTAATTCAGTTGAAATAATGACTCTCCTTTAACATATGGACAATTGCATACTTAAGTTGAACACATCTTAATCAAGGACTAGAAATTCATATCCTGAACAGGTTTTTAATTCGTGTTTTTTTTTTTTTTTTTTTTTTTTTTACCTGAGGATTATCTTAAATTATGAGGTATGCTCATTTGTCAGGATCATAGCAGGCCTTTAGGCCACTGACAACAGCAGATAAAATCTGAATTCAGTTTCAATGTATAGCAATTTTCAAGGCTATGTAATCTTCACCCTTAATTATGATCTTGAATCCAAGCCATATTGTACACATAATTTGGGCAAGATAATTTTCACTTTAAAGTTTTAATTCATTCCCTTTTTAAATATATAGCAAGTCAACAAGTTAAGCAATATCGAATCCGCCCTTGATAATGATCCTGAATCCAGGCCATATTGGAGTAAAGTTCATCTGTATCACGGTTTCTTCAACTTGAATTCAAAGCACTTGTAGAGCTAAGTTTTGAATGAGAGTCAGAAAGTTATAGCACGATAGTATATAGGATGTTAATTTCTCAGTGACCTTGATAATTGAGAATGATCCAAAGTCAACATCATCTCTACAACATACAAATAAGCATCTTAATTCATGATAAAAATTTGGCATTTAACATTTTTAACAGACAAAAATACATCTTTATAAAAGTTGGGGATACAAACATATACCGCTGTTTATTACATTTTCAACAGTGAAATACTGTGATTTATTTATTAGATAAAAGTGCCATTTTCTCACAGTGTAAAAGGATATCAAGATAAGTAAAAAATAATTTCTGGCCTGTCATAAGATAGAGATAGTAACTAAACCGTCGCACTCATGAAAATATTAAAAAAAATCCATTCCCACTCGTGAACTAAATTCCATATTCAACTTAAAAACATTAAATTTCCTCTATATGCAACACTCACAAATATTCTTTTGCATAATAAAGAGGTTGACAGTACTGTATTAAAAAATTTACAGTGTATCAAACAACATGGACATTCTCGTTTTTGAACAATATTTTCACAGACTTGGATACAAAGGGAAAGGTAATCAAGACAATATGGACATCTACCAGGACATTACTCATCTTCCTCTGTCTCTACTTCTTCATCTGTTCTTTAGATTTTTTGAGTTCTGCCTTTAGACTTCTGGGAGGTAATTTTTCTTTTAATATAAGACATTTTTAGATGATTATCAGTCCAGGGCTTGTGTTTAATTGTGCTAATTACTTTGTCAAAAACAATCTGATTGTACACACAAGTACTCTGAAGTTGACATTTAAAAGATGCTCGAGTTTCAGTTGACAAAATCTATGTGGTTTTTGGAGACCAAGTCTTCCAACAATCTATTGGAATTCCCATGGGTACCAATTGCGCCACGTTATTAGCAGACCTATTTTTGCATTCATATGAAGCAGAATTTGTTCAAAATCTTTTAAGAGAAAAGAAGAAAACACTTGCTGTGGCCTTCAACTCGAGTTTAGATATATCTCCGACGTATTATCAATTAACAATGGTTATTTCCATTGTTATGTCGACACGATATATCCCGCTGAGCTTGAGATAAAAGATACCACAGAGTCTGACACATCTGTTTCATATTTGGATATTTTATTAGAAAAAGACGTTAATGGTAATCTAACAACAAAGCTTTATGATAAACGTGATAACTTTAACTTTTCAATCGTCAACTTCCCTTACCTATGCAGCAATATACCCTTATCACCTGCATACGGAGTTTATATCTCTCAGTTGATTCGATACGCCAGAGCATAATGATCTACGTATGAACAATTTCTAAAACGAGGTAAGTTATTGACAAACAAGTTGATGAAACAAGAATATCAGCAGTCTCGTTTAAAGTCATCGTTTCGTAAGTTCTATGGTCGATACAATGACCTTGTCAGCAAATACAATCTATCATTAAGTCAAATGCTGACTGACTTTTTTCATACTAATTGTTAGGCCATTATTTACACTGAATTGTCGACGGATTTTTCCGTTATTCCCCGATCATGACAAGGTGTGACCGGTCGGCAGGGGATGCTCACTCCTCCATGGCACCTGATCCCACCTCTGATGTCTTAGAAGTCCGTGTTTGCTCTGCTCCTATTTTGTAATGTTTAATGGCATTTGAGCTCGAATACTGTTCGTTATCTCCACATATTTCATATATAAGTTTTGAGCGATCATATCTTCCGATGTTTGGTTTATTCAAGGAAAAGCTGCCGGTAGAGTGTTCCAGAACAGTACACTAATACAGAACCCGATATGTGGTCTGATGATCGGAGTGTTGGTCACTGTATTGGTTCAGAGCTCATCGACAACCACGTCTATTGTGGTCAGTATGGTAGCTGCAGATAGTAAGTTCCCCAATTTCTGTGCTTCATTGGTATATGTGCTTTATAAATTAAAACAGATTATACATTTGATCCAAACTGTAAAATCACATCCCAACAAAAATGTTCTGCCTGCAGTCCTCACAGTGAAGTTGTCCATCCCGATCATAATGGGTTCTAATATCGGAACGTCGGTGACGAACACCATCGTATCACTAGGGGAAATCACCCATCGTAACGACTTTCGGCGAGCTTTCGCTGGGGCCACAGTACATGACATGTTTAACTGGCTGTCAGTCATTGTCTTGCTTCCACTGGAAATTGCCACAGGTGTGTCACAGGATTGTAAAAAAAATATACACATGTCATTTTAATTGAACCTACATTCTGTGTATGTAAGATGCGTTTTTCCATGATATATTTGAATGATACACTAATGTATTCTTAGGTTATCTCTACCACATATCTGGGGCTATTGTTGAAAGCTTGCAGCTGGGATCATACAAAGATGCCAATAAAGATCTTCTGAAAGCAGTTACAAAACCTTTTACAAAATTAATCATTCAAGTACGAAATTTATTTTTAAAACAAACGAAACAAAATACACCAAAAGGTAATGCAACCTTTTTCTTCGGATTCATTCATTCTAATTTTTATGATACTTTATTCATAGCAGTATAATGAATGATCCTACTATTTTATAGATAGATTCTAGTAAGATCAACATGATAGCTAAAGGAGAGAGAGAGGAAGAAGACTTCAGACTGTTGAAAATCTGCTGTCAATCCAAAACAGCCACCATAACCAACGAGACTGGATACAATTATACCCAAACCAATTGTGTTCAAAACTGTTAAGTACAGAATTTCAGAAAATTCATGGAACTATTAATTTAATCTATCGATATATAACTGAAAAACATCCCTATTGTCAAAATTAAAGTCGCTGACATCAACTCATATATAATATTTCTTAGTATAAATAATAAAGCCATTTATTACAAAAGTAATATTTTTAGATAATTGACACAATGCTACACATTCACAAAAAAGATATCCGATTCAGAATTTTGGGGTATATTTCTTCATAATGAAAAAAACCCCTTTATTTTAGGTGTATTTAAGTTCATATTAACATGGTGGGTTTTTTTTATTTTAGGTAATCACCTTTTCGCCACTTCCGGTTTGTCAGATTCCGTGATAGGGATCATTATGCTTCTGGCCTCTCTTGCACTTCTTTGTTTATGTTTATTTGGAATTGTCAAGTTACTCAACTCTCTGCTTCAGGGAAATATCCGAAAAATTATCAAAAAATTTGTTAATTACAATTTCCCTGGAAAAGCAGCATATTTCACAGGATACGTAGCCATTGCAATAGGGATAGGTTTCACTATTTTAGTCCAGTCCAGTTCTATTTTTACCTCGACCTTGACACCTCTTGTGGGGGTTGGAGTTGTCAGTATTAAACGGATGTATCCTTTATGCCTTGGTTCTAACATCGGTACCACAACTACTGGAATTCTTGCAGCTCTAGCAACAGACACTCAAGGTGGAACAAAACGGCTTCAAAATGCTCTTCGAGTTGCCATGTGTCATCTTTTCTTTAACCTAACGGGTATTTGTATTTGGTACCCCTTGCCTTTTATGAGGTTACCAATCCGCCTTGCAAAATTCCTAGGCAACACAACAGCAAGGTATCGTTGGTTTGCGCTGTTTTACCTGGCCGTTGCATTCTTCATTCTCCCTTTGACAATTTTTGGATTGTCTCAAGGTGGATGGGAAGTTCTTGCAGGGGTCGGTATACCCGTAATTTGTTTACTTTTTATCATAGGGATAATAAAGTTACTGCAGAGGAAAAGACCCAATTGGTTACCTAAGAAGCTTCAGAACTGGAAGTTTTTACCTCTATACTTTCGTTCTTTACAACCTCTTGACAGATTATTTAATCACTTATTTGGATTCTGTAAAATATGTCATCACCATCACCACGACCATCATCATCATCATGACAATGATGAAAACATAACAACAAAAACTGACGAGAGCCAAAAAATGATTTAATGTAGAACACGTCGCACTTTTTTTAAACAAGTTGGAATTCATGCTGTAGGGCTGTGCCGACTTTTACATTAATTTTCAGATCAGTTCATTACCTTGCTGCCATTACAACTTAAACGTTTTCTAGTGGTATTGTACAGATAAGTCTTTTATCACCTCAGAAAAGTATTAAAGTAAACGAAAAAAGGGAAGAATGGTAGGGTCATTTAAACTAAAATACTTTTTAGTGAAAATAATGGCCAGAAAATATTTACTTGCTTATGGAAGTCGACATTCGAGTGAACTACAAATTGCATTTATAGATTTAAATAGATTTACATTGGGTAGTATTCTTTTGCTTTTATGGGTTCACATCAAACAACCAAACAACAGATATTCTACCTCAGTTACAGTACAATAAATCATACTGTAGGTCAAAGAACAAGGTTCTTTAAGGCAAAATTCTGATATGAAATGTTTGAATTAGTATTAAGAGCAAAATTTTTTCTATAATTCTGAAAATACAGAATTAAAGTTGTGCTAGAGCATCTTTGGATATGTTGAATTGACATAACCCTGCAAGTTTTTTTTTTTTTTTCGACGATTGAGCGACCTGACATTCATCAGATACAATTTCAACATTAAAATCAAAATGAATAGTGTTCATGTTATGGTCAAAGAATAAAGTTTGATCCAATTAACGATTTTGGAAAAGAAAAAAATTACTAGTATATATGCTTGGATAAACATTTGGGTATGTTAATTTGTCTTTTATTTACAGTCGAAAGGGGAAACAGACAATATGTTGATTTCGAAAAAGTTTATAAAAGTATTCTGAGAAATCAAGAAGTATGCAAAGACCACAGTCATGCTCTGTAATCCTGTAAATGATCTTGGAAAAACAAATTATTAAACACTTATCAGCCGTTTTCTTGTTTATGTTTATGAATAGACAGTTGAAAAGAAATGCACGCGTTTACTTACCACTCTAAAAGAGTTCATGCGTGACTAGCCCTTTGCATCAGTCGTGTACTAGTAATGTGTAAGTTGTTTAATGATGTGTACTTGGGAATTAATTAAAGATTTGGTCATAATTAGATGAATGCAAAAAAGTTTTATTCTTCTTCCATTTTATTTTTTATACTCTCTGTCGGTTTTAGCTCACCTGAACCAAAGGCTCTGGTTAACTGTCGATCTGTCTTTCTGTTTGCCTCGTGTTGTCTGTAAACTTTTTTTCACATTTCAAACTTCTCCAGAAATACTGGACCGATTTCAACTAAACTTGCCGCTGATCAAGGGAATAAAGTTTTCAAGTTTGCTCAAATGAAGGGCCACTCCCTCTTTTAAGGGGAGATAAGAATATGTGAAAACTATCTATTAAAATCTTCTTTTCAAGAACGGCTAGAACAAATAAAATTGAAACTTACATATAAGATCCCCGATAGAGTATAGATTTAAATTTATTTATATCATGGTCCCCAGAGGTAGGTTGTGGCCAATATTGGAGATCAGTTTATATTGAAAAATTTAGGGAAAAATCCTGGACTGTTACACATACAGCTTATAGCCATGAAGACAATATACAAGTAGTTACTTAATGTATTTTCCTTCTAATTAAGAAAAAAATCATTATTAAATAACCTGAAATTGTATCATTCTTTTAGAACTACAAAGTTTAATATAATATATTATCATTAATTAAGTTTGTTGGGAAAAAATATTGGTGCTGTGATTACCAAGAAGGAAATATGTTCAATTTCTTAATTTTGTAGCAATAATTAACCCGATATGGTGGGTACTTACATCCAGTTAGCGATTGAATGGTGTCCATAACTTTAATTTAGGTTAGTTGCTTATAGATATAAACTTTAAATGCTTTGGAAATCTACAAACATGGGTATGTGTTAAAGGAGACAAAATACCTTTAAGGTTTTATACATTTCTTTCCATATAATTCCACAACACATGATGTGTTTTGTGATTATGATGGTAACCAAAAAAGGACTTAATCAGAAGTTCCAAATTATTTAATTTTTCTGAAAAATAGAAAATCCGTCAAGTTAAGTCCTCCAAATATTTCCGAATCCAAAATAACCCGATATACCTGAAGTAATATTAATAAAAAGATACGAGACGTACATGTATCAAACTTCCGCCTCACAAACCAAATTCTTTGTAAAAGAGACCTCTACGAGGAATTTTTCATCAACATATGTAACATAATACAGACACTTTGGCAAACATTTTGGTTGTTGGAAAATGTCTAAGAGGAAAAAGCACACCCCCAGAAACGATGTTGAGAAACAAAGAAATACAAACACGTGATATTCTTTTTTAAATATACTTTTACAAATGCCACTTGTGTTTTGCTACTTCAGAAACATCTCAGTTATCTTAAACCTCCTGGCATGCACGACTGTAGATTGCTTAAATATATACATATGTATATCCCTGTCAGCAAATATAGGATCTGTTCATTATTTTAAATAACAGAACATGAAATCTGTTTAAAACAAAGAACAATTTTTTTCTTAAAATGTTCATTTTACATATTGTTATATTAAAATACTGTTATATGTTTCTTTTGGTCAGTGTTTGTTACATTAAAAATGTGAAGTAATTGGAGTTTATAGCATTACAGAAATTATGGTTCTGAATGCCATAATAACTATGCAATACAACCTGCATAGAACATGGGACGAAATTCATATGTTGAACTAAGTTGAGAATTGCCATCGAACATTTGAGAGAGTACATACTGCAAGTCACTGAATTCCCGGTAACTTCATACCACCAAAACAATGAAAATGAAATAAGTATGAATTATTGATTTCAAGGTATTGTGCATTTTCTTTTCTAATAAAGACTCAAAGAATATATGCTAAGATTAAAACATTTTCGAACAACATTTTTCTAGGTTTGTAGAACTTTCTGAGCTCACTCCGCAATAATCGACTTATGTCGAAAAATAAAAGATGATTTTAGTTATTAATCTATATGTCAAGGTAAAAAAAAAAAAACGATCAAATTCGAGAGTCTTGGCTAAGAACTATTTCTTTCGCACTTTCTCTGCAAACAGATGGGTGGAAAAAAATTCCGTCTACAAAAATCTCACAATTAGTTTCCTACAAAGATTATTTCTTGTGGCAAATATTTAAAAATCACTAGGACCTAATATTACATAAAATATGAAATATCTGGATAGGTTCATACTAGCCATTCAAGTGTTTAGAAACTTGTTTGAAACGGTTCCTTACTTAAACCATTATATAAAAAGTATCAATGACAATAAAGTTGGGAAATTTACATGTATATCCAAATATTTGCTGAGAATTTTTAAGGATAAGTCTCGTTCTTCGTGTACATGAATATCAAATACTGCAGAAAATCTATTATCATATATTGTTGTGCACACAATTCCGTTCTTTGAAGTGCGTATGTTCAAATAATGGCCGTATTATCAGAGTATCAGATGACCACAGGAGTCTGTGTATTGTTGCTTCATCTGCTTTCACGGTGAACGAGGATAGGGTCCATGCACTAAAAAAATGAATTATCATTAATATAGCTGTCATTTATAAGAAAGAAAAGATATGCATCCACCATAATATATGTATTACCGAATGATATATCAAACTCAGATAGTATGTTGACATTTTGTAAAGTATCCCGGACAATTGCTTTCGGGAATTTGCTTTGTCAAACAAACTCTGTTGACACTCTTGCGTTTTGATATTTTTTCAATGCCCGAAGTGTAGGAATTTTCTATAATATTAGAATAGAGTAATTTGATATTTGGTCGAAAAGCCACACATAGACGGTACACATGCTCTTTGTTCAATAAAGATCTGTACTCCTGGTGTTATGAAAATTAATACATTGTTCTCGTAAACCCTATTTGTTTATTATTATTTGTTATTTCTTGTTTCTTAATAGTTATTTCTTAATTCTTATTTGTAACTTCCAGTTTGCATAATGATTGAACACATGAACATAATTACTATTTTATCTTGTCATTAGTAATAAATTCAAAGGCAAAATATTACTTTCTTCATTTCTGAAACTTACGGAAGCCCTGGAGGGACATTGACTTAGGTGTTTTGACTTAGTTCTTATGACTTAATTGTTAATTCTTGTTATTTTACATTTGTTATCACACGTTTATTTAACCCCAAAACGTGGCGTACAAGACGGAGGCTACGTGTAGTTTCAGAAAAGAAACGAGTATTTTGCCTTTGAATTTTATCTCAATGAGAAGAAAAAATAGTAGTAATGTTCATGTGTTCAATCATTATGCACACTGGAAGTTGCAGAAAAAGAATTAAGAAAAAACTATTAAGTAACAAGAAATAACAAATGAGAATGAACAAATAACCATTAAGTTATAACAACTAAGTGACAAGATATAACAGATAAGAATTACGTAATCACAACTGTACTGGACAATAAACAACTAACAATTAATTAACTAAAAAACATAGTTAAACTAGGACTAAACATATCATTTTCAAAGAAACGTATGTCAAGATACACGTTCTCCAAAGCTGCGTTACACTTAGTCAGAATCAGAAATAAAAAGTCACAATGAATAAGTCGCAACAAATAAGCTATAACAAATAAGTCATAACAAATACGTCAGTGTCCCTCCAGGGCTTCCGTACTTCAGGGCTTCCGTAGAAACTACACGTAGCCTCCATCTTTCACGCCACGTTTTGGGTGAAGTATACGTGTAATGACAAATTTAGAATAACAAGAATTAACAATTAAGTCATAAAAACTAAGTCAAAGTCCATGTCCATCCAGGGCTTCCGTATTTTCCTGATACTTTTCTTTCAAAAAAAAAAAGAATTACATTGACCTGGTTCTAATAAATACGAAAAGAAAAAAAAAGCTGATTAAAATATCAAAAGTTTGCCTGGAGACGAAATTCAAAAACTACAGACTGATTTAATTTTGAAATTCCAGACTCTGTACAAATCTGAGTGTACATGTTGTGAAGATTCCTGCATTTCAAATCAGCAAATGTTGAACATGCTGTTCTTCAGAAAAAAATTGAAAGAAATACTATACTATCCGTTTGTAAAACTCAAAATATTTCATAAGTCTCGAGAAAATTACGCTATTTATTAAGTGTGATAGTACCAGAATTACGGTACTTCTATTTTCCCTTACAAAATAAAACTTTAAACATCCTTTGCTGCTGGTTGATCGGTTAGGAGAGAGTTTTAATTTTATGTCCTTAAAGATGGCTACATCAGAAGACATGGGGTGTATAAAAGCACGCCAAATGCAACTATTGATAAGGACATTGGAGTCTATCTATTTATACACTGTAAAGCTATGCAAGGGAATTAATTGATGACAGTATTAAAACTGGAAATAAGACCCAACTTCAAGCAAGACAGCTTAAAACCAGTGTAATTTTGTACCACTGACACCACATCAACATGCTTTATATATTATATAGACAAACGGTTACCCGTGAAAATTCTCCATTGTAAAATTTCGAATTCTCATTTTGGTCTCTATCTAGTCCATTTAATATCTGTAAATATTTATATGCAACAAATTGAAACAAAATCAATCAACTTATAATAAAATTTTACAAATTGATTTTATCAATTTGAAAGCAAAGATTGTGTAACAAGACGCATTGTTATACCTTTAAAAATTAGTTCCTATATAAATCCCTACACTATAAAAAGTCTAACATTTCTAATGTTTTACTGAGCGGTCATAAAAAATCGATGTTTGACCGCAGAGTGAGATACCTGCCTATGAGATATTTGACCGATTACGTCACACTGTGGGCGGGATCAGTAACATCTTATTTGCATTCGTTGGTGTGGTACATGTATACCAAAAAATAAATAAATAAATAAAAGGTATAACAAAACATTTATTGACTGTGTTCTCGGGCAAATTAGTTTTGTCGACTCCTCGAACCAAACTGTTTGCCTTCAGCATAACGGCCTCAGGCAAACAGTTTGGTTCTTGGGTCCGACAAAACGCATGTTGCTCTCGAATCCAGTCAGTAAATGTAAATTACGGTCCTCAATATCAGCGTAACGAGTTTCATAATGACTGTAAAACTTAGAAAACAGCGCAACTATTTACTAGTTAATCTCTATAGGGGGAAATGTCTAGTTTTGTCAGGAAAACAAACATTTCATGTCGGTCAGTTTATAAAAGTGAAAGAAAACAGGGCCAGTGCGAACAGTACAATACGCCATGTTAATCAATCTTTTACGTGACGAAATTGTTTTGAGGAGTATCTCCTTTGAAGATTGATTTTAAATTAAGTTGTGATAGGCAGGAACAATTTTAGTAAAATGTAGAGAAAAATATCTGTCAGATCAAGGATAAAGCAGCCTGCGACTCAAAATCGCTTCACAGATGGGTATTTTTTTTTAATAGAATATCTACGTAGAATTTTTAACAGTAGCTCGTTTTTGTTGTAATTCGAACATATTCTGTTGTATTATATGTACTGTTGTACAATATGTACGAATGGATGGGTACAAATTCACCCAAATCTTGAAATACATACATGCAGTGATAGCAATTAT